ATTAAGCATTTTCTGAAACAAGCTCTTTCAAATTGCCTCAACCTCATTAGATATCATGCCTATAGGTATTTAAGGAGTCTATTTCAAAATCTGTTTATTTTCTGCATTAACATAGACACCAGTATTTTGCATATAGGCAAGCCTTAGGGCATTTTCAATAATTGCATTTCTCTGAAACTATCTCTGTCGCTTAACATTTCTGATTCTAACAGGCTTTTAAAAAGAGCCCCTCGGCAACCACTAGGGTGTAACTTCTGAGTCTCAAAAGAGGGGTTGCCTGTTTCTGCATATTCATTTAGATATCCTGCTTTAGGACATTGTTTAATAAAAGACCTTAACTGTGTTTGAGTCGTGCTGCTTATGTGTTTGTTTGAGGAGGAAACTCTGAGCCTCTTAATTGCTCCCATTATGTGAAAGTCCTAAATGTTTTAAATAATGCCTTAGAATTTTTGCCTTTCTAAACCTTATGGGTACGTCTAGAACTACCTATAGGTAGAGGTCCTAACTCCCTCTAGGACCATTAAGAAGGGACGGGTAGCAGCACGGAATAGGAACCATTGACCAATCACTCGCTTTGCATGATCAATAAGGGGATGGGAATAGTAGACATGGGATAAGATGACTACGCATTAATGTCACGTGTAGTCCCTCATTGAGGAGTGTTTACTGGACATTGCGTAGGGTGATCCTATAGGATAACCAACCTAGGACCCCTCCTTACCCAAATCCTCTCTTTATTTAAACCTTTATTTTACAACTTGTCCAAACCTTTATCTTTTTACTTGAGTTATCTAACGTTCTTTGCTTGTAATTTATTTGATTCAACTATTTATGTGAACTAATTTATGAATCTATGTTCGGTCGGGACCCATAGTTGTGGACCAAGAGGGGTGCCTAACACCTTCCCCTCGAGGTTACTTCGAGCCCTTACCTTAATCTCTGGTAATACAAACCAACCCAAGAGTTAATGCTCTAGGTGCCCTAACGCACCATAGTCCGTTAGGTGGTGACTCTTCAAATACCCAATTCCCAAAAGAAAATAAGTCATTACACCCCGTGAATGTCGAAACCCGAACCTCTTCCCCCATCAAAAAGGGGGGCGCGACATCATGGGATTGTTTTCTTCCATTAGCAGAGTTCGCCTACAACAACAGCTTCTAGTTGAGTATCTATATAGCTCCTTATGAGGCCTTATATGGGAGGAGATCTTTGGTTGTTTGGTTTAAGACTAGGGAGGCTAAGTTATTGGGAAATGATTTAATCCGTGATGCCTTAGAGAAGGTATAGTTGATCCAGAAGCGGCTTCGCATAGCACAATCCAAATAGAAGAGTTGTGCTAATAGGAAGGTTGCATATATGAATTTCAGCATGGTTTAGTTAGATGGGGATTTGACTTATAATGTGGAGCCGGTGGGCATTTTGGATCGACAGATTCGGAAGTTGAGGTCAAAGAACATAGCGTCAGTAAAGGACAATGGAGAGGTCAGTCGGTCGAGGATGCTACATAGGAGACCAAGCAATAGATGCAGAGTAGATATCCACACCTATTTGAGACTCCAGGTATGAGTCTAGACCCATTCGAGGATGAACATTTGCTTAAAAGGGGGAGAACATAACAACCCGACAAGTCGTTTTGTGTATTGTCCCTAATTATTGCCTCTTCTATGTTTGTTTGTGGTTTTGTCTCTTGCCGGAGTGGTTGGTTTGGGTTCTGGGATGTTCCGGAGTGAATTGAAACACTTAGTCTCAAGGTTGGAAGCTTAAGTTGGAAGAGTTGACCAGAGTTTGACTTTTGTGTAGACGACTCTGAAATGGAGTTTTGATGGCTTCGATAGTTTTGTATGATAATTTTAGACTTAGGCGTATGTCCTGATATTAATTTGGAGGTCCGTGGATTGGTTTGAGGCTTTTTGGCGAAAGTCGGAAAGTTGAAGGTTTGGAATGTTGGGATGTTTGATCGAGAATTGACTTTGTCGATATCGAGTGTAGATTTCGGTTCCCTAGAGTTGGGATAGATCCGTTGTTCCATTTTTGAATTGGGTGCAAAATTTGAGCTCATTCAGAATTAATTAGTTTGATATGATTCGGCATTAGTTTTAGAAGTTGGAAGTTCATTTGTTCATTAGTCTTGAATCGATAATTGATTAGCGATTTTAGTGTTGTTTGATGTGATTTGAGGCTTTGAGCGAGTTTGTATTGTGTTTAAGGACTTGTTGGTTTGTTGGATGGGGTTATGGGGGACTCGGGTATGATTCGGATGAATGACAGAACATGTTTGCACTTAAGGAGATGGCTGAAATTTCGGGTACCTGATGCAATTGCACCTGTGATGGTTTTGCTGCAAGTGCGAGGAAGCAGAAGTGGTAGGTTGAACGCAGATGCCGAGGAAATCTGGAAGCAGGGAGATCGCAGATGCGTGAATGTTTTTGCAGAAGCGAAGTTACTTCTGCGATGAGGGAAGCGCAAAACCAGAGGGACCTCAGGTGCAGAAAATTCTCTGCAAAAGTGGATGCATAAATGCGGGAGCCCGACCATAGAAGTGATAGGTCGGGATTTAAGTGAATTATGCAGATGCACATTTTTGACCGCAGAAGCGGACTTATGAAGGGAAGAAGCGGGATAAATGGGCAGGTTATTAAAATCGAAGGGTTTGAGGTTTTTCTCATTTGGAGAGTTTTGAGAGTCGGCTAAGGGCGATTTCTGAGAGGGTTTTTGCTACAATTCACTTTTGTTGATAAATACTCCTATTGATACCCATTGATTATTATGCCTAGATTATGTAAATTTGAAGTAAAATTAGGAGATTTTAGACCATGGTATTGGAGAGTGAGATTTGTAGATTTTAGGGTCGATTTGTGGATGGAATTGGATGAAATTAGTATGGTAGGACTCGTAATTGAATGGGTATTCGAATTTATAAATTTTGTCGGGTTCTCGGTGCGAGCACTGGGTTGACTTTACATATTTGATTCAAGACTTTAGCTTTATCATTTGGAACTGTTTCCTATAGCTATTATTGATGGTATTAAGTTATTTTTGTTAGCTTTGAGCCATCCGGAGCTTGATACGCACAAAAAGGGCTTGTTAGAGGAGTGATTTGACTTGCTTGAGGTAAATATCTTGCCTAAAATTGGTTAAGGCACTAGTTGCCTAAATTATTTATGATAGTTACGTGTTATAAACACGCATATGTGTGGGGTTTGAGCCCATGTGCGAGCACCGAGGTATTTATCCATATTCGGAGTAGTACTTAAAATATGATGTGCCTAGAATTGACTGTTAAGTTTTAAGCTATAATGTTTCTCATATTTGTAACCTTGTTGTGAACTAGTTGAGCCATGTTTGAGGTTACATTAATTTCTTGAATGAACTTGATAATTGTTATTTCTGAGATGAAATTGCTGATTTGAGTTGTGATAGTACAATTTGCACATGCCTACACTTTAGCATGTCATTTATACCAGTCAAGGAGCATGAGATCTATTATTCATTTCATTCATCACATACATGTATCCTTATCAGGGGCAAAGGCACACTTGGGTTAGGGTGGTTAACTGACCACCCTTTGTCGGTAAATTACACTGTTTATATAGGTAAAATATTGGATTTTAGAGGTACATAACATGTATTGAACACCCTTTATCGGATTATTTTTTTACTTATTTCAAGTATGAACACCCTTGAGAAAATTCCTGTCTTCGCCACTCATCCTTATATATTTGCTCCTTTGTGATATGATTGGACAGTATGCATGTTACCACGCCGGACGGATTGTGTTATTATGCATGTGACCACGTCGGGGGAATTGTGTTGTGGTGCTCGTGACCATGCCGGGCGGATTGTATTGTTGTGCATATGACCACGCCGGGTGCATATGACCACGTCGGGTGGATTGTACTAATATGCATGTGATCACGTCGGGCGGATTATGATCTTGAGCCTATGACCATGCGGGTTGGTAACATGTTTAATTGGACGTGCTTGCGTGTGGATATGGATCCGTCCTCTTTGGGTCACCTTCTCATATTTCTTTTTTGATGGTGTACACGCAGATCCATCTCCCTAGGGTCACCCCTAAACATAGCTAAGTCTGTTGCATGCATCTGTAACGTGAGCATCTGCCGAGTCACGAAAACTTCTGGAACACTACAAATTTTGAGTTAAGCGATTAGGCTAAAACATAGGAGTTTGTGGATTATTTGTTATTTATACGGAGAGGTAGATACACCCAATTGAGACAGTGGACTGAGTTGTCAACTATGGTTTTGTATAGACTCGTTGGTGATTAATAAAATCGTTTAATTACAACCAAAAAAATAGTAATGCAAAAATTAATAATATCGGGATTGTAATATATAAATTATTTTTTATCCTGTGCTTAGTATTAAAAATTGAATATATGATGTATAACTTAAGTGCTTGGTTTAAAATGGTATAATATTTTGTTTACAATTATACCCCTGAAATTCTTAATACTCCCTTCGTCTCAAATTAGATGAGGTACTTTCCTTTTTAGTCTGTTCCAAAATAAATGATACATTTCTAAATTTGGAAATAATTCAATTTAAACTCTTCATTTTACCTATTTTAACATTAATGAAAAGATTTTATAACAATACAAATGTCATGTATTTTATTCCTTAAGCTTTTAAGATCACAAGTTTCAAAAATCTTTTTTTTCCTTAAATTTCGTGTCGAGTGAAATTACGGAGTAAGTATAATATTTCTTGCTGACAACAATGTAATTTTCAATATAAGGCCTTCTCTAAGTATAATATTTCTTGCTGACAACAATGTAATTTTCAATATAAGGCCTTCTCTAAGTATAATATTTCTTGCTGACAACAATGTAATTTTCAATATAAGGCCTTCTCTAAGTATAATATTTCTTGCTGACAACAATGTAATTTTCAATATAAGGCCTTCTCAGTTCATTGGAGTTGGAAAATAATACGGCAATTCCCATATAAGTTATACTGTTATTGTTACAAGGGATTGAACGAATACAAATTTCTATACCATGATTATCATTCTAGTACCTCAAAAGTTCCTGTATTTCCTATATTGTCCTTCATTTCTACACTAAATATTTTAATAAAAAGACAATCCAGCAAAAGAACATACATAAAAGTTTTATTCTTTTTATTTTTTCGATTTTCTCAAAATATGAACAGAGGAGCCAACATTCTTGGCTTTGGGTTGACCATTTTGGACTAAACACCAAATATGCAGCAAAGTCATCACTATCATCTCTATACTTCCAAGTTGGCCATTAAATGACTTTTTCTCCATTTTCAAACCACGCTATTTAATGCATCATCTAAGCCACTGCCACTCACCCACCCACTTTTCTTCTTTCTCTTAATCTAATTGACCTCTTAACACTACTCTTCCTCTTCTCCCAATGTCCACCGTTTCCTCCTCCATCTACGGCGGCCCACCACCTCCTCCTCCTCCTCTAGCCACCACCAATATCCTTATCAATTATCCAAGACCTCAACAAAATCGGCCTGGGCTACGCAATTGCAATTGCCCTAGGCTTCCTCTTCCTCCTCTCCACTTTCCTCCTTCCCTCTTACCTCTGCTGTCGCTCTGCCGCCGCCGTCAAGCCCAAGCCCATGCCCGAAATGGGAATACGGAAAATAACGGAATATATCTCCCCCGCGTAATTTTTGATGCTGATGAAGAAGAAAACGACGACATTTCATCCCAAAATACTGTTTTAGGCCTTGATCAAGCCGTAATTAACTCGTACCCGAAATTAGTATACTCCAAAAGAAATGGAAGTGGGAACGACGTCGTGTGTACTATTTGTTTGTGTGAGTACAAGGATTCTGAGATGCTAAGGATGTTACCAGACTGTAAGCATTATTTTCATGTGATGTGTGTAGACGCGTGGCTGAAGTTGAACGCGTCGTGCCCAGTTTGCTGGAACTCTCCGTTACCGATGCCGTTGTCGGAGGTGGTCCCACTTTCTCAGTATTCCGACGGTCGGAGGAGGCATTGATGACTAATGGATGACGCGGTAGAATTATGGAATTTTGGCAGTTTGGAAGTGTGAATAAGTTTGTTTTCCAAGTGTACGGCACTTGGAATTTACTGCTAAATGTTGATAGTGCCTTTTTTTTGTATGAAGTGAGAAGAATTCCTTTTCAAAGCTTTACTTCTTGTATTAACTATTGATTTTTTCTCGCTAGTTGCGGAATCTACACTACGTACTAGAGATGATCATGAACCGTGAAAAAACACCTACACTCTTTCCGGAGGATTTAGGATTTAAAGGTGGCGTAATTTTCTTTAATATATACATTATAGTGACTAATAAAAAAATTGTTAGGGACCTTTATTCGGTTTTTTTGAGTTCATTCGGGTCAATCTAATAGGTATTTTTTTTATTTGTAATAAAAATTATATTTTGAATATAAAAAAAAATAAAAGTAATTAGCATTTTAAATAAGGAATCACACCTTTATTATAACAATGCAAGTAAAATTAACATTTTTACTAGGAAATTAAATCTTTTCTGTCTATTAAAAATAAATTTACACAAGTAAAATAACACATTCAATAAGAAAATTACATCAATCAGGATAAGAAAATTTAAAAAAATATCTTCAATAAATAAATTATACCTCATACGTATAAAATTAAATTAACTACAAGTTTCCAAAAATAAATCTCATATTTTTTAAGAAATGCATACGAAATTTTTATCATAATTTAATAGTAAAGATATTTAAAATATATTTAATAATCATAGAATAACACAAATTTTTATAATATAAAGAGGAAATTTTTTTTATCTCAATCCAAAATTCTCATTAAGGTCCAAGTTTTTCGGATTTGAAAGAAGAAAAATCATATATTTAAGATTAAGAGGAATGCTTATTTTATATAATTTTAAAATTTTAGAGCCTATTTTTTTAGTGTTCTTTCTAGAGACCACATATAAAATAGTAGAATATGTCACACCTCTTTTTTTTCGAGAAGGGATATAAGGAGTTTTTTCAATTTTAGTGACATTATTCGAAATGAAATTATTTATTTATTTTCAGAGTCGCCACTTGGGATAATTTATGATGTCCCAAGTCACCAGTTTGTTTTAAATTCCAAATCGAGAAAATTGAGTTTATTTAAAAGTCTGCGAAACCAGAAAAACTAGGTAAGGAATTATGTTAACCCGGGAGAAGGTGTTAGGTATTCCCGGATTCCGTGGTTCTAGCACAGTCGCTTAACTATTAATAATTGGCCTAATTATCTGATTTATTACATATTTGAAAATATATTGTGCATTTTTAATCTTTTAAACTGCTTTTAATTATTTATGGAGTTATTTCTGGAACAAGTCACGACTGTCGTACACTTGTTTGTTTTTTATACACGTTGCAAATTATGTCATAGGAATCGTACTCACGATCTATAACATGTGAATTTTATTATTGTTCAAAGTTATGGTCGGGTCACATGAAATATGCACCCGAATTTGGAAATTAGGTATCACGACTATGCCACGGGAACCGTACCCATAGTCGTGATGATTCATTTAACAATCGTGCCTAAAGCAAACTACTATGTTCAAATTATTTTCTAAACTTTTTTTGAGATTATTGTAAAGGTCTGTGGCAGCATTTGGGAATACCAGAAATTTAACTATTTGGGATTATCCAAAATTAATTGTTATGGACTCAAAAATGAGAAATGGGCCAACTAACTGTTTACAAATCTGGCCCAGTCGCAACTCTAAATGGACTGGGCACGTTATGATTGTGTTTCAGCATGAAAAAATCGCAAGGCACACATTGTCCAAGTCCAATACGGTTCACACGAGAATGAGAATCATATAAGAATATTATTGTATTTATGTTTGACGTAACGTTGCTAGCATGATTTCTAACACCCTAAATCAGAATTGGAATTATACTAATTTTAAAAATAAGTTCATAATTGGGGCCAAGTTATTGGGCTTAGTACCCATGCCCAGCTGCCTGGAGTCCAAAATTCCATTCACCATAAAGGAACGAAAGCTAGGCCTATTGGAGTGCCTGTCCCAGTTCATTTTAATCGGCCAAAATTTTAAGAAAAAAAAATAGAATGTCTAACTAACTCATATCATTATCAGTTTGAACCAACATTATGCTAAATAAAACTAATTAGAACATTAAGAAATCAGTTTGGACTAATTTGAAATACGTTAATGAACCATTCTATCAATTACAATCATTATTTACAAACTTGATCAGAATAAGACTTCAAACTAACTCTTATACTTTTGCTTTCAGCACTGGCGATGAACAAACAGTAGAATTACATGTTCAAGCTCTGCCACTCATGAATTTGTGAACCAGACACTCCACAGAGACGGATCTGACCAACTGGTGGTCAGATTTATCCCTTGGCCATTCTTTACCCTTCCTTCAAGTGTAAATCAACATTAATACCAAAAAGAACAACACAGCAAGAATTCAGTCAACTTAAACTTAATCAGGACGTATGTGTTACTTGTCACAACAAAGAAATTAAAAGCTTAAAGTTCATTCAATAAAAAAAGTGAAAGCACCACAGACACCCTTAGCCTTACTTCAGAAATTTGCAAAGAGTAAGCAAGAATTCAATTTTTATCCTTAAGTCAACAAATGCATCCAAAGAAGAACTTATATGAGCTCATTTGATTTAATAAAAACCTTAAATCAAGATAGGTGGACAAAGTAACACATTAGCCTAGTTAATGAGTTAACATAGCATGTGTATTCAACTTAGAATTAGGCAAAATGAATCAGATTTCAGACATCGAACAAAGATGGATAAATTTAATCCTACAAACATCATAGAACACATGAAATAGGCCATAAGCACAATATCAACATGTTTAGTCTATATTTCCAGATTCATAAAGGTTACAAGGAAAGAATTTCACATACCTTCTATGAGAGATAGTAAATGCCAAATAAAGGCAAAAAACTGGAGAAATAGATTCAGCAAGCTCAAAAATAGCAACAACCAAACAGGTACAGCAGCAATGAATAAACCCAGAACAAGTTTCAAACTTCAATCCAGAATCATCTTCGAGAAGGATCAGAAATGAATGAAGAGAAAACAGAACTTCTTAGGGATTTCTAGGAACTATATTTTTGTTTTTCTGCTAAGAATGCCAGAGAAAGGAAATGCAACAGTTTTTCTATGTGCTTTCAGATAATTCTTAGAGTGAATAGGCTAATGGATATGTGTGTGAGTGACTGATGGTCTATTCCTTATATAGAGTGCATAAAAAAGCATAAAAAGGGAATGTTCTACCCTAAAATTCAGAAATATCAGATAGTACAACATCTTTTAACAGATTTGGTACAATTGTCTGTACTTTTTACCCAAATTCAGTATTTTCATACTAAATATAGGGACATCTGTCCAATACTAGAACTTTCTAATATTTTTCCCCATTTTAACTTTTCAATTTACCCTTTTAAGTTCTTATTATTGCCCTTTCACCCCAATCTGACCTAATTTCAGTCGTTTGATTACCCATTAATCCCTTCTGGAACCTCCTAGAACCATCTAGGCAATTCTAGACTTAGGTTCCCTGATTTGGTTCTCAATTAAATCCCTTAAACCTTTGGTTATTACGCTTTTCAATTCTTTAAAGCATTTAAAACTTAAAATCAACTGAAACTTATTCAAAGCATCCTAGCTAAAGCAAAATCCTGATTTAAAACCTAAGCTAATAATTGAATCAGGACGTTTATCTAATTAACCCTATAAACCCCAAACAAAACTGAATTCCCAAAACAACAAAATAAAAGAAAAACAGCAACAAAACGAAAAACAAGATCACTGATGCAATAAAACCTAATAGTTAACCTAATTTATCTAAACTTGATTAAATTAAATAAAATATGCAATTAAACTAATTACAAGTAATTAAACTAATTTTCTTTAACCAAACAGTTTAGCATGTTCGAATAATATTTTAAAGTTAACCTAAATAGTGAATGCTAAACCAAACACTAATTAGTCTAGAATCAAATGACCTTAACTTAATATAACGGCTAAACACATGCACAATCAAAGAAAAGGAGAAAGAAGGAACAAGAGAAAGAAAAGAGGGAGAAAAAACAGAAAATATACCTAGTTGGTCTAAAAGGACTCCGGCAAATCCAAAAAGCTCCGAAATAGATCAAAAATAACGTTAATCAATCGTTCTCATTGAGAACGATAAACTAACATAGGTTTCAATCCAAATCGATTCTTGAAAACTCGAAGAAAAACAAAAAAATTGGAAAAGAGGGTAAAATAGGGTTTCTGCTCTCTAGGATTCGAACAAATCAGTGGGAAATTTAGGGAAACCAAAGGTGGATTAGTGAAGAGGAGAGGCTGGGGATTATCTGGTTAAGTTATGGAGTGGTTTGGTGGTGGTCCGGCGCCGTGAGGCAATTTTCGGGCGGCGGAATATGGCGGAGCCGGTGGGGAGTTCAAAGGCGGCTAGGGTTTGGTCTCTGAATGAGAGAAGGGAGAAAGAGACGAAATGGGGAGAGTTTTAAGGTTGGGGGTGGGGGAGTTTCGGACAATTATATAGTTGGGGCAAGGTCAGTTGCGAGCCATTGGATCAAAATGATCCAACGGCTCAGATTAGGAGTTATGAAACAGCGTCGTTTCGTCTATTAGGGGGTGGACTGGATTTTTGAAAGGAATTGGGCTGGACCAGGCAGATTTGGGCATTGTTTCTGGGCTATTTAAAATTTTGGCCCAATTTCAAACACTTCTTTAATTCCCCCTCCCCCCCTTTTGTATTTTCTTCTTTTTCTTCTTCCTCTTCTTCTTTTAATTTAAAATCCTAAATTAATTAATATAAAAACCTAAATTAGGTTCTAAATCAAATCACAATTATGAAATAAACCTAATTAACTATTTCTACTATTTGAATAGTCAATTTTAAAGCTAATGAAATTACTAATTTAAAGCTAAGGCTAAAATGTAACATGAATTTTTTAAATAAAGAAATTAACAAACAAATTAATTCTAAAAATACAAACACAAACCAAAAATTTAATGCATGAAATTTTAACATTTTGTGGTATTTTTCATGATTTTAAGGATATCAAATGTGCACAAAATGCAAATAATTAATTAAGAAAATTCTACAGAAATTCTATAAAATTAAAAAATAATTTAGAAAACCTATTTTTGAATTTTTATAGGAGTATTTCTAGTCGGGCAAAAATCACATGCTCACAGAATATAAAAAAGGAAAATATAAAAATAATGAGACGACAAATAAAAAATTGGGGGGGTAAACGAAAAGGAAAATCACTAGGACAAAAGGAAAACAAAAAGCACAAAGAAAAGGGAAAGTCAGACAAGGTTCAAGACAATTTCCAACTTAAAATTTACACACGGGAAAAACTTTCAAAAAAATCTACCAGCATAGCACATTTGTCTAATTTATGATTGCGGGTGGCCGGATAAGATATTTAACCTAATTTAAGAAAATTTAAACATAAGGTATACAAAAAATTTTATCATGTAATTAGTGGGTTCCATGCCACCCCTTCCTAAAGGGGTGGATCCGCCACTGCTCCTTTCTAATGATTTTAGAAGTTTTCATTACTGGGGATGTAAATAATTTTTACCATTTTTAATTCTTCGGTAATTTTTCTTCAATTCTTTTTATTTTATGATAATAAAGTATAAGATCTCCATTAGTTACCTATTGTATTGTATCGTATTGTTACTTTAATACAATGTTTGTTTTGATTGTTACTTAAATTTTATTGTATCGTATCCTTAAATCCGTCGTTACGTAACGACGAAATGTGCCGCTTTAAGTAACGACCGATTTGATATGGTTGTGTCGTTATCTTGTCTTTTTTTTCTCATCTCACCCTTCATTATTATTAAATACTTTTATTCTATCATTTACCGTACCTTTTTATATAATAAATTTATCTCGTATCATAATTTTCTTTATAATATTGCAAATTTATTCTTCATATTACCGGTACATGATATCATGAAACAACGGCAAACGATACAATCTATCCAAACATTGTATTCATCAAACGATATAGTACAATACAATACAATGCAATCTGATACATTATGAAATGATGTGTAACAATTAAATCTGTTAATCCGACCGGGCTGGCCCGTTCACAACCCGGTTCGGCTCGGTTCAGTCCAGGTTAGCCCGGTACTGTAGGGGTTGGGGGCAGGCTGGGATAGGTTGGGTACGAAGCAGGTTTTGGATGAACATTTTTTGGCTACCGATGCACCGGAACCCGCTTAGCCTGGTTACCCGTTAACGGATTTTTACCGGGCTACAACCCGATTTCCGTTACAAATTTTTTTAAAAAATTTCTGGACCGTTTCCAACGATCAAATTCAAAAATAACCGTTGGGCAATGACCATTTTTTTGCAGAAATGGCCATTTCGGCCTACCCCCCTAAGAAAATAATCCCCACCCCTAATAATTGATAAATTACAATTTTAACTTTTTAAAAACTATAAATAGTCCTCCTTCTTCTTCATTTTTTCTCACAATTCACTTTCTTACTACTCTAATTCTCTCTAGATAATATTGATTATTGTTCTTAAATTCTCAATTACTTATTATTTCAAGTTTCATCAAATATTTAGTTTAGCCATTACAAAATTATTATTATCAAATATCAAGTATTCAAGTGAAGTGTGGTATCAAGTATCGGTCTATTAATTGGAGTTCATTTTGATTTTTTATATCAAATTTAGTGCGGCATCCGGAATCCCGGTACACTCGTTCCATCTCTTTCTCTTCTTTGGTGTATATTTATATTTTATTATTTACAATTATTAATTTAATTTCTTAATTTAATTTACTTAATAGATTTATTAAGAGCAGCCAAAAAAGCGTGCACTAGTATGGGTGGTAATAGTAAGAGTAAAACTTCTAAAAAATCAACAGGTGGTGTTGGTTCTTCTAGTAGCTTTACACATATTATTGAAAGTTCACCTGAAAATTTAAATGTAGATTATGAGCGGCTTCAAGAAAATTATGGTATAAATGATGATTTAGATGATATTCAATCACCTGATAATCTTGAAACACCACCAGCTACACCTGATAATGCTAGTCAAACTTAAAATATTAGGGGTGGAGGTCGTGGTAATACAAGTAGGCCTCCCCTCACTATTAAGAGGAATCGAAGATTAAGAAGTAAGTATTGGATTTTTTTTGAAAGACTAAAAAAAGATAAAAATTATGTAAGATGTAAAATTTATAAGAATGTTTATAAACATGAGACCAGTAATGGAGGGGAATGGGTCAACTTCGTAGGCACATGGTAGAGCACCACCGTATTGATTGGGAGTAGATGAGGAAGATGGGCAACAAAAACTTAACCCGGGTACTGAGGGGTTAATTGGTGATACGATATTAAGAAAGATCGGGAAGAATTAGCTAAAATAATTATTTTAGGTTGTTTACCTTTTAATTTTACTGCTTCACCATATCTTGTTACTTATATTCAAAAAATTTATAACCGTTTATTTAAAGGTATTCCTAGAAGTACTTGTAGAGCTGATATCTTTAGGCTTTTTGGACAATATCAGACATATATACATTATTTGTTCGCCAGTCTTTCTTGTAGAATTTCTCTTACTTCTGATATTGGTCATGCTGTAAATGAAAATGATTATTTGATTGTTACATGCCATTGGATAGATGATAATTTTTGTATGCAAAAATGTATGATTGGTTTTAAATATGATGAAGATCAAAGTCATACTGGTGCATTTATAAGTAATATTATCCATGAAGTTGTTATATTTTATAATCTTGCAGGAAAAGTTTTGTGTATGTCATTTGATAATGCTTCTAACAACAATGTTGCTATTACAACATTAAAATTGCATCTACCCTCACCACTTCCTGAAATATTTCATGTTAGATGTGCATGTCATATTTATAATTTAATTGTGAAGAGTGGTCTTGAATTATTTAGAGATAAGACCACTTTAGTTAGAAGAGTTGTTGGTGTAATTCAAGGAAATAATAGAAATGCTAGATTAAATGCATTTAAGGAAAAATGTGTACAATATGGACTAAAACCAAGACTCATGCCTGAATAAATAGTTACTAGGTAAAAATTATACTTATTTATTCTTAAGATGTTGTTATAAATATAAAATGCCTATAACTGAAGTTGCTAATTCTCATTGTACCGATCCTAACCATTTGTTAACATCTAGAACTTGGGATGTCATTGAAGATGTTGTAAAAAAATTACAAAAATTTTAGGTGGCTACACTTGAGTTTTCTGGAGCTTATTATCCTACTATTGCAAATGGTTTAGT